CGATGAAATCATAACAAAACATTTACGTTTAAGTTTGACAAAACATATACGATGAGGTCATGACAAAACATTTACGATGAGGTCATGACAAAACATTTACGATGAAATCATAACAAAACATTTACGTTTAAGTTTGACAAAACATTTACGATGAAATCATAACAAAACATTTACGTTTAAGTTTGACAAAGAATATACGATGAGGTCATGACAAAACATTTACGTTTAAGTTTGACAAAACATTTACGATGAGGTCATGACAAATAACTTATGTTATACAGTAATGTTAGTCATGAATGTTTGTCCTACGTGTTGGCGTTAGTGTTGAAAAATAATGTTTGTCCTACATGAAGCCGTACAAGCGTTTGAATTTGTTTATGCATAAGATTACTCTCTTGTTTTCTGTATCTATCATAGAAACATAAGCAGCACCTGTTTTTGTAAAGTTTATATGAAGTTTTCGATAGTTAAGACCTGTATAATAATAGAATGCGTCCTCATTCTCAACATAATAGTAGAACTCAAACGAATGCTTACCATAAGCTGTTATTTCAACAGCTTCGTCAGATATTTCATCAACGAACTCATAAACTATATCGCCATACTTGCTTTTATTTCTATTGTTTTCAGATTTAGAACACCAACGAAGGTTTGAGATTCTGTTGTCCGTTCTATCATGATTTATATGGTCTATTTCTTTCAAATTGTTTGGATTTTCAATCCACTGTTCTGCAATAATTCTATGCTTTAAGTACATTTTGTTGTTTAAACTAAGCATAATGTAACCATAATTATTTAAGCATTCACTCTTAATATGTTTGTTTTTCTTTCGACGAATAGTAAAAGGATATGTCGTACAAATCTCATAATCTTCATGATTTCTCAATGTTTCCCATTGAGTTTGTTCCCCACTAACGTTCTCATTGACGTCCTCAATATCTTCTTCCTCACTGAACTCGTCAATATTTTCACTAGCTCCTTCTGTAATGTTTTCATCGGCATTGTCATTGACTTCTTCTGTAATGTTAGATGTTGTTGTTTCGCTCATGTTCTTTCACTAATGTTAAAAAGTTATGTTGTACGAATTTTGAACAGAATTTAGAGCAGTTATGAAACAATGAAGTATTTTTATGCTATTGAAAGGAACTATGAGAGTGAAGTACATGACAGCAATGACAAAAGGAACTAATATCAAACCTAATGAAATCGCTCACGAGGACATAGAGTTTAACAAGTACTTTGTGGAGTATCTTATAAGTGAAGAGTATGTAAGACCTTACTTCATGTTTTGACAGCATGAATGAGGATGTTATTTCATGGTTAAAGAATATAAGCAATGTTTTCGGTAAGTACGTCATAGATGACAAAGGTTTGTTGTATTTTATGAGACAGCAATACGAACACAGGAACTAAATGGATATTATGCATTCAACAGCAAAAGAAGGATTTAGTACTATTGGCATGAATGAACATTGCAGGAATGACATATACAACCTATGCTCACGAAAGCCTTACACAAAAGCAATACAAATGATAGAACATAAGTGTCTAAGGTCAGTAAATGAAATCATTACTGTCAGTGGTTATGAAAGAACTGTTAGCAAAGATGAGTGGAAACAGCTATTCATATTAAGGAAGGACGTTGCTGAACTAGTTAAACCTGTTGCACAAACATTGTTTCAGATAAGACCAGCAATGACTAAGAACCCTTTGACCTTAGTCAATGAGACCATAGAGGTTGAAGATAATGACATGAAAGAACTAGGAATGAATGAGAGAAGTTGTGAAGGATGTTTGAATCAAAACACATGGTTCTTCAGAGCTGTTAAGAAACTTAGTAAAGAACGACAGAAATATTTTATAGAGAAGTATTGCAAAGGATGTGTAAATGAATTGCTTGAAATAGAACTTAGAGACACTTTCACACTAAAGGACTTGAGGAAAAATAAGTACATGAGTGAAGAAGGTATTGACATAGCTAGTGTTATAAATGACTTAAGAAGATGTGTTGTTGTTATTGACGGAGCACGTATGACATATCTAGTGAAAGATTATGATGGAATACGAGACACAACAACACTTGTATCAATAGATAGCAAGGAATTCAATAAGCTCATGAAGAGTATTTATGTAGGACGTATTGAGGAGAAGGATGTGAACGCACTGATGATTTATGAAGCGGGTCAGAACAAGAACTATCTTATGAGGTCAGGCATGAGATTCTTTGACGAAAGAGATGACATTTACAGCTATTTCAGAGGATATGAGTATGAGGTACTGAATGAAGTAGATGAAAGCGTTATTGAAGGATATTTGAAACATGTTCACGATGTCATATGTAATGTGGATGAAGAGCTTTATGAGTATGTTTTGAACTGGTTCGCCTACATCGTTCAAAATCCTTGTGGAAAGACTGGAACAGTACTTTTGTTAATAGGAAAGCAAGGAACTGGTAAGAATGTATTTAGTAATGTTCTATGCGAGCTCATTAGCAAGTACGCCAACAATAATATAACGGCAATAGAGAATGTGGTTGGTAGATTCAATGCTGCTATTGAGAACATGAAGCTCATCGTATGTAATGAACTAAGCTCATGCGATACGTCTAAGGTCATGAACCACGACGCACTAAAGTCAATAGTAACAGAGACTCAGTTGGACTTAAATCAGAAGTGCCAGCCAGTAAGAAAGATAGAGAATGTTTGTAATATCATCATGATATCTAACAACTTCAACTCAGTAAAGATTGACAAAGACGACAGAAGATTTGTTGTCATTGACGTAAGCGAGTATATAAGAATTTCCGAAAAAGTGACACCCAAAAAGTGACACTTTCAATAGGGAGTAACACTTAAAAAGTGACAATTTAAAATTCACAATAAATAAAAATAATAAATTTTTTAGTCTATTAAATTATTCTTTTCTTTGAAATCCTCTAAAAATTCTTCGAAATGTTCTAAAATATAATCTGGAGAATTATAACAAAATTCATTAATTTCTAACATATACGTATCTAACAATTCATTTGGAATTTCAAACGATCTTAAATATGTAATTGAATTTTGTATCTTCTCATTTATTTGAGAAAGTTTTTCTTCAGCATTTTCCAATAAAAATCTTAATGGATTCAAATTGGCTTCTTGATTCTGAACAAAATTTAATACTTGGTATAAACGTGATTGAACTTCTCTTTTCAATTTTGTTTATAATCTGTCAATCGAGGCTCGCGAATTCTAATTGAAGGAATAAAACCTGTTTGAAGTAAATCGTTTTTAATACGATAAAAGTAATTGGGTGCAACTTCTTCTAAAAGATTTTTGACAAAAACATCAATTCTTTGATTTTTAACGCAGCCAAAATCGTGATATTTTATCTTTTTAAATAAAGATTCAGAAACGTTATTCACAACGGTTAATTCATTTGGTCTGGCAGCGGCTATCCACATCATAGCCAACAATTCCTTATATAAAGTTCAAAAACTTGGGTGCAATCAGAACTGATTGCACCCAAGTTTTTGAACTTTCTTGAGGGAATTAAAGGGTGAGAGATTTATAGTCTATCTATATATCTCCCACCCTCTAATTCCCTCCCTGACAGCGGGAAATTTTGTCTGAATGTTAAACTATTCAGACAAAGTTTCCCACTGTTTGCGAAGGAATTGTTGGCTATGATGTACTGATTCATGATCAGTACATCATAGCCAACAATTCCTTATATAAAGTTCAAAAACTTGGGTGCAATCAGTTCTGATTGCACCCAAGTTTTTGAACTTTCTTGAGGGAATGGAAGAGTAAGAGGTATACATTATGAATATATACCTCTTACCCTTCCATTCCCTCTCTGACAGCGGGAAACTTTGTCTGAATGTTAAACTATTCAGACAAAGTTTCCCGCTGTCAGCGAAAGAATTGTTCCATCTGGTGCATAGAGTGTGAATCTATGCACCAAATGGAGCAAGTCCCTCGCGAAATTGCCCAAACTTGCGTCGCATTTCAAAGATTGCGACCCAAATTTTGGCGATTTCTAGTAGAGATGGAGTATTTTGAGTCACTGACCTATATGCAGTGGCTCAAAGGGCTCCATCTCTACTTTGAAGCAAGGAAACTTTCCTCGAAATTTTGATAATTTGAAGAAAGTTTTCAAGCAATTAACAAAGGATTACTCGCTATGAGGTAAAAATTCTAGATTTTCACCTCATAGCGAGAGCTTCCCTTTCATTGCTTGAAAACTTTCCCCAGCTTCAAAATTGGGGAAAGGGCTGTAAAGTCGACTCCGATACCAGCAGGTACCAGAGTATTTAAAAGAGAAGCCCTCGTACGAGTTTCTATGAAGACCTTCTCATTCAAGAAGATCTTAATAGAAAATCGTACGAGGGCATTGGAAACTCGCGTCTGGTACATGTTGGTACCAGAGTGTTTGAGATTTGAAGACTCTGGTACTAACATGTACCAGAATTTATGATGAATTTAAGATGGACCATTATAAAATGGTAGCGGTTTGTTTCAAAAAATTTTAGATGAGATTTGCATAGATATAGATTATAGGATTTATACATATGAAAAATAATATATAAAAATATAATTTTGAGATAATTATGTAAATAATATTTTAAATATTTGAATTTGAGGTATAATTTTATAGTAAAATATATTATAAAGAGTATTTATATAAATATTGTAAAATAATATAAGTAATAAAAATTGAGACCCCCTCCCTGTTTTTGATGTTTTGTCACTTTTTCGGTAATTCTTATTGTTTCTAATATCATCATGATATCTAACAACTTCAACTCAGTAAAGATTGACAAAGACGACAGAAGATTTGTTGTCATTGACGTAAGCAGCAGATACAAAGGAAATTACGAATATTTCTCAAATCTCATTGAAAGCTTTAATGAAGAGTTTTATTCAAACTTACTGACGTACTTCATGAGGAAAGATTTAAGTGAATTTGATGTAAGGAAGATACCATTCACCAGGGCTAAACAAGAACTCATCGAAATGAACAAAACACCTTACCAAATGTTTTACGAGGAGTTCTATGAAAAGTTTGTATCCGGATGGAATTGTACAGAGTGCTACAGAAGATATAAAGAATTTGCGAAGGAAAATGAATTCTTTGCATGTAGTTCAAATGTATTTGGCGGTAAGATGAGAGAATTTGTGAAGAGAAGTAGAAAGCGAGACGGTTCTGCAAGAAGTTATATTTACGAAGCAAGTATGATCTTAGAAGGTCGTGGAAAGAAAGAAACAGTGAATTATGAGGAAGTGCTTGAAAAATTCATGGAGTACATGGGAAGCAATATAACATACAACAAAGACATATACAGTGAGTTTAAGTACTACTGTGAACAGCATGAGATTGAAGTAATGAGTAAAGGAGACTTTGAAACGCTTATGAAAGACAGTGAGGAGGTCATACATGAGAACAATGATGAAATAGTTCATGAGAACAGTGAGGAGGTCATACATGAGAACAATGATGAAATAGTTCACGATGTCGTTCGTGAAGAAGCCATTGCAACAAAGAATGAGATAAAGGATTTCATAGAACTTAACAAGGAGGAGTTTAAAGAAGGCTATGAAGTGAAAAGATGTGAAGAAGATTTCTTGGCGTATTTGAAGAAAAAGAGACTAAAGCCAATGGCTCAAAATAAGTTTCAATCGATGTTTGAAAAGAAACGTTTGAGCTATGGTGGTGTAAGAAGCACATATTACTTTGTTAAGAAGTGAGGACATTTATTTTTGTCGTTAGTGTTGGAGTTTGTGTTTGTTGTTAGTGTTTGTCATTTGTGCTGAGGTTAGTACTTGATGTTAGTGTTGGAGTTTGTGTTGGAGTTTGTGTTTGTCATTTGTGCTGAGGTTTGTGTTGGAGTTTGTGTTGGAGTTTGTGTTGGAGTTTGTGTTGGAGTTTGTGTTTGTCATTTGTGCTGAAGTTAGTACTTGTCGTTAGTGTTGGAGTTTGTGTTTGTTGTTAGTGTTTGTCATTTGTGTTGAAGTTAGTACTTGTCGTTAGTGTTGGAGTTTGTGTTTGTTGTTAGTGCTGAGGTTTGTGTTGGAGTTTGTGTTGGAGTTTGTGTTGGAGTTTGTGTTGGAGTTTGTGTTTGTCATTTGTGCTGAAGTTAGTACTTGTCGTTAGTGTTGGAGTTTGTGTTTGTTGTTAGTGTTTGTCATTTGTGTTGAAGTTAGTACTTGTCGTTAGTGTTGGAGTTTGTGTTGGAGTTTGTGTTTGTTGTTAGTGTTTGTCATTTGTGCTGAGGTTAGTACTTGATGTTAGTGTTTGTCATTTGTGCTGAGGTTAGTACTTGATGTTAGTGTTTGTTGTTAGTGAGAGAATAAATTAAATCATGAACTTTGCCATGGTCTCTGTCCCTAGTAGTTTTCAGTAAGTTCTGGAAATAATGAAAGTCATAAACTTTGCCATGGTCTCTGTCCCTAGTAGTTTTCATTATCTCACAGAATTAATGAAAGTCATACTTTCTATCAGATGAAGCATGCAGATGAACATAATGAAAGTTAGTGAGTTTGCCACGAGTTATGAATAAAATATTGGCATATTAGATGAGATAGCTGATGAAACAGATGAAGATAAATTAAATCTTGGACTTTGCCACACTCTGTCCCTAGTTCCTCAAAATCCTTGACAACGTTGCTTAGAAATTTTGGTTCAAAACCTCATCTGATTTTAATCTGTTATGCTACCTGTTAAGTTTCGCGAGATTATAAATGTCATGGAGTTATATAAAAAGGAGGGACAGCTAGGGACACTGGAAGTACTTGTAAGGCTATCTGTTAAGATTGCATGAAATACTAAAAAGTCATGAAATCCATTATCGCTGTGCTAGCTTCACCTTAGAGTAAAATGACGACTAAAGTCACTGAAGCAATGAAACAAAAATTTTTGGTAGAATACATTAAATCAGGAACTATTCCAGAAGGTTTTTACATTCATACTATGAAGGATGGTAGAGTTCAGTTTAGAAAGATAAAGCAACCATTAGATAAAGAAGGAATTTTGAGAAAGATTAAACTTCATGAGTACAACATTGCTGAACTTAAGAAGAAGTTAGAAGAGTTGGAGAAAGGAAGAGAGTTATAAAGCAATGAATTCAACAGGTTAGAAAAGAGGTGAAAAAACAGGTGAGATCTCACCACTTCACCTAAATTTATTTTTGCGCTATGTTTTCATACGTGTGAGGGTGGTGATATCATTAATTTTTAAGTTTATTTTTATGTAAATGACAGAACAAAAATATAACATATCTACTCAACAGGAATGAGACCCTTACTGACTATGTATTCGTTTAATGCTTGATGAAAACAATGGTACATATTATCGTATGGGTATACACAGCGTCTGTTTCCATCGTCGTCGTATATGTAGAGCTCAAATCCAGTCCAACCTTCTTTTGTACAATATGTAGCTTTATTTAAGTATGCATTTATGTAGATAAGGCAATTTTCTTCATCGCTCCAGAAATAATTTTTGTTCTTTGTTGAAATAGTTTTCGTTCCTCTGCGACCATAAGGAATGTATGCAATGAACTTTGCGTCATATGGGATTGTAATATATTCAGGGTTTCTTTCATCGTCAATGGGTCTGTCTTTGTTAAAATGCATGTTTCTCAGTTTTACTTGAGTTTTGAATAGTTCACGGAAACGTTCTGGGAAAGAATCATAGTAAATGTAGTCAGACATGTCTTTGTAATGAAATAAAAAATTTAAAAAAAATAAAAATAAGGTTATTTTTATTTAGTGAGGACGGTAGTGAATTCGTTAGTGAGTTCGTTAGTGAAGTCGTTTATGTGTCAGATGGTTTTGTAAATATTTAAGGTTAAGTTAGTGTTGTCGTTTGTGTTGTAAAATATATGTTACCGGTTTTGTAAAGTGTCAAAACCGCTAAGTGGTGTACGGAGACGTGCAGTGCCACAGTACCCAACTAAGCCATACTAACTGCTGGTCTGACCTACGAATTAGATTTGGAAACAGCACGTGCCAATTATCCAAACAGACTAGAGAGGTTAGAAGAAGAACGTCTTATGGACATGCCTTTCGATGTTAGTGAGCCTCAAGTTGAAGGACACGACGGCTTTGCCAGATTCTACTGGAAACATGACGAACAATTGCATCCTTTGAGAAGGAAAAAAGGAAAAGGTGAAGACGCACATGCTCCCATGGAAACAACAAGATATGCATATGAAAAGTATCGTGAAGTTAGAAGTCAAATTACATCTGGTCGAACCTTTACAGTAAACTTTGACGAAGGAAAGAACAAAGAAGGCTTCATGGGAGTACTTGCTGCAATTCAAGACGGAAATAAGAAAGGACACAATCTCAGATTGACCATAACAGATTTGGATGGTCACATTTACTATGCACATGGCAATGAACAAACAGCCGCAAAACTTCTTGACGCTTTCAAGACTACAAGAGAAGAACAAATGGTTGACTCCGACTCAGACATTTTTAATGCAATTGAAGGAATTGCAAGTGTCAAGTTCGAATGGTACCAACCTAACCCTCAAGCAGTCAGACAACATGCTGGATACTTCCCGTTCATAAATAAGTCTGACATTGACTTGACAAGGTATGGAATTTACAATTCAATTGAAACAATTGTCAACGAACCTTGCATTCTTACATGTCTCAGGAACTCTGGTCTTGTTACAGATGAGAAGATGAAGTATCTTGAGTCATGTGTGAAGACAAGGTACATTCTCAGAGGTCAATTGGCAAAAATTGCACCGTTGGCAAATGTCAATATCCGAGTCAACATACCTACAGCTAAAGGTTCTTCACATGACGACTATGTTGTTGACAAAGACTTACCATGGTTGAAGATTGTAATTGTCCACAACCACTTCATGTTGAACAAAAGTCTTACAAACCCATTCTTTGGTAAAAGTAAGTGCAACATTGTCAGAGCTGTAAACATTCTTTTCGAGAAAGGTTTGTTGGAACCAATTCCAGATGACAAGCTGACAGAAACTTTTGTACCAAAAGACGAAACAAACTTTTCATTGTTAGCAAGACCAAAAGTTGTTCCAGACAAAGTTCTAGTACAAAAGAAGTACACAGTTCCACAAGGGGTTGGTATGTTCGGATACCAACCTGAACCAGAAGAACTTCCAATGAGGTTGCAAGAACTTCAAGATGCTATAAACAAACTTCCATTGAGACATCCAATTGACGTCAAATTGTATTGGAGAGCATCTGAGTTAGGTCAGAAGGTTTTATATGAAACAGGTAGCTTCGACGATGTTTATGAGATAACAGGAGAAGTTTCTCAGAAGATAAGAGACTCACTTGAATTTCCACAAACTGGACCAATTGGTTGCGACAAGTTCGACTCAGATGAAAAGATATACTATGTCGACCTTAACGCTGCATACATGAGGTTTGTCCAATATATTCCGACTGGAATTCCAAACGAAGATGGTGAGTTCCCGGGAAGGAACTATACAGTTGGAAAAGTCATACAACAACTGTATGATATTAGGAAAGCTTCAAACCCCAAACTTGCAATGACACTCAAATTGCTTATAAATTCGACATGGGGATATTCCATTAAGAAACCTCAAGAGATGAAGAGTAAACATTATGAGAAGGTCGACAACTTTGTTGAAAGGTTTTCTCCTTTTGTTTTGAAGTACGAATTCACTCAAGGTCAAAGTGGCTTAGTAACCACATTAAAACCTATTGTCGAACATTGGTCTTACCCTCAGTTCGCAAAAGCAGTCCTTGACGAGTACAACAAATTCTTCTCCGAAGTCAAATCCAAAGTGAAGGTTTACTATGAGAACATTGACGCACTCATGACGAACGAAGAAGGCTATAACAAACTCATTGAAATGGGTTTAGTCGGTGAAAAGATGGGCCGTTTTAAGCTAGATAAGGTATTTTCCGAAGTTCATGTAATATCGAAAAGGAAATATTGGGGCATACTTGAAGACGGCACAGAAATAAAACATTGCATGAAATAAAAAATTTATTTTTAAAAAAGTGACATTTTTTTATTTTATTTGAAATGTACGCTGAGTTTGTTGGAGAAGACCGTTGGGAAACTTGTTTGTTAGATGAGAAATATGAAATTCACTGTTGTGAGTCATTTGAAGTCAGAAACAAAAAGACAAAAAGAGTTTTAAGCGAATGGGAGCGAAATGACGGATATGCTATTATGAAGATGGGTGGAAAACACTATCTTAAACATGTTGTCATTGCAACTCATTTTATACTGAATCCTAACAATTTACCTTTTGTAGACCATATAAACCATATAAGAAACGACAATAGACTTGAAAACTTACGTTGGGTCACTCGTTCTGAAAACAATAAGAACAAAGGCAAATTTGGAGATATTGTATTCGAATTTGTCGACGAACTAGAAGATGAAACAATTGAAATTACAGACTATGGCAAGCATACGTTTGAGTTTTACTACTATAGCGAAGAACAAGACTCTTTCTACTTTTATACCGGCGTAAACTATAGAAAATTACAAGTATATTTTACTAAGGCTGGCTATGCTTATGTAAACACTAGAGATACAGATGGAAAATACGTTCAAATACTTCTTAACAAATTCAAGAAGCTATATGGCATACCATTTTAAAACAATATATTTTTACATATATTAAATGCTTCAGGTTGAAAAACAAAGAACAAAAGTAGCAGATACAAAACCGTTAGACTATATCTTTACAAATGCTGGTAGGACTATTTCAGATGAAGAAATTTCATCCCGAGCATACAGGTTTGACTATCCAATTCGTTGGCTTCAAAGTCCTTCAGATGCAAAGGCAATAGGATTTAGAAGATTTTGTTTTCAAATAGAACTAACGCATTTATGTTCGCAGTATATTTTCATGGGCTGTATGAAGGTCCTGATGGTCTAATAGACAAATTTGCGAAATGAGAATCTTTACAGTTCGTTCAGACGAAAGTCTTGAGAAAACTCTAGATGACTTTCAAACTCAAATGAACAAATATTATTGGGAATTTCAAGAAAAATACGACTCTTTACTAAATGGAACATACTATCTGAAACTAGAATATGACAAGATGAACTCCACCGTTTCATTTCAAAAGATTGAAATTAACCCTCCAAGAGATACAGAGTTTTTATTTTGGGAAGTAGACAAACGTTCTTGGGCACAATTTCTTCGGTTACTAAACCAGAACGAACCATTACCACCAGATGGTCCATTTAAATTTATACTTCCACCAGCAGATTTGATGGTTTATAGAAACGTGTTTGACCCTCAAAATGTTATGTGTCATGCAAGTTTCAGTTCAAGCAACAATAGTTTTCTATGTATTGGTAAGGACCTTTATGACTTTGCTTCTAAATTCTACGAACCACCTAGTAACAGTTTCTCTGACTTTCAAGTTTGGTTCACAACAAATGTGTGTATTATTATTCCATTGTACTATGACTTTTATCTCGAATTTGTCTTTCATATATAACTACGGAAAAGTGCTGAAAAAGTATTGAATGTGAAGATATTAGAAAATAACATTTTTTCTAACATCGTAGAAAACTCATGAAAACAATTTATTTTTGACACTTTCACAAAAAACATAAAAAAGTGAGTTAAAATGAGATGTTTACTGAACTGGTTGGATGTCGCCTTCTGAGGTTATGTAGAACGGCTGACCAGAGAAGTGAAGGAGACCCTTGAGAATTTGGTTCATTCTTGGGAAAGGGTTCTCTCTGTTTGGAAGTAGTATCCAAGGACGCTTGGCAAAGAACTTTATAATGGCTTCCTTCTTTGCTTGCTTTATGTCGTCGAAAGGAGTGCCTTCTGGTACCTCAATTGGAATTCCAGTCGAAATCTCGAGATTCAAGGCAGCCCTTCCCGTTATCCAACCGTTAACAAGCTTGCCTTTTACATTCTACCTGAGGAAGTCTTTAACAAGCTCGTTAATTTCAATTAGGTAAATTGCCTCGTCGGTAGGTTCGACCTCGACCATTGCTACTGTCAGTAAAAGTACTGCTACTGTCAGTAAAAGTACTGCTACTGTCAGTAAAAAGGAAAATTTGAGAGGGTTTTCGACGATAAAGTACTGCTACTGTCAGTAAAAGTACTGCTACTGTCAGTAAAAGTACTGCTAGTAGCAGAGATTTTTATCGTTGTGGTCCGACGGTTAAGCCACAAACGGATGACTGACGTCCCACCAACCGAGTCCATTCCCAAACCAGAGGAACCTAAAGAACCACAACAGTCTCCTCAGCAACCTCAGTTCCAGCAAGTACCTCCGAATTACTACCAATTTCCACCTCAAGGTTACTACCCACCACAAGGCTTCCCGAACTACCCTCCTCAACCTATGCCTTACTTCCCCAACCCATGGATGTTCCAGCAAGCTCCACCCCGGCAATTCCAATCTCAATCCAAGAGAGACCAAGACTTCGAAGAAGGTCTGAACCGCTTACGCAAAGAGTATGCTACAGCTCCAATTGAGAGAAAGTTGTTCCCGGACCAAAAAATAATGTTTAGGGTAGATGGTTAGATCTAACCCGATATCTACCCTCATTTCTACCCTCTTGAATTTTCATGAATTTCCTTAAGACAGAAAAAATAAAGTTAGTTTTATTTTTATTTATTTTTTTATTTTGTATGTAAGAACAGTAATGTCAGTCGAAGCAAAAACGTTCACGAACAAATCTAATGGCGAAACATTCACAAAAGGCACTTATAACGGTATTGAAGTCTTACGTAGAGACAAGGATGGTTACATTAATGCAACAAATATGTGTCAGCAGTTTAGGAAAGACTTTAGAAAGTTGTTGGAAAATAAGTCCTGGGAAGAGTATTATAAGGCATTTTGTGAAGAATATAGCAACCGCCGGAATTCGGACTGTTGCTTTTTATACAAAATTCATGCAGGAAATTCTTGAGTTTTGGATGAAAGAATACGGTCAAGCCAAAAGTGGCTCAACTAGGGTTGTTAAAAATATCAAAAATTAGCGTTTTGAAGACACCATGGTGTCTTATAATTTTCCCTTCCTTATTGGCGTGTAGAAATAAATGCGCCAATAGATTGAAGAAGAAGAATTGTTTTTCTCTTAATGAACTTTAATCCTTTTGATATAAGAATATTAAAAACATTCATATAATTTCGATTTCGGAAATTAAATTTCCAAATTTTTTGTCGATTTCGGAAATAACAGGATCCCGCATCCAACACGCAACAACAAAACACAAAACACACTTTTTGGTTCTTTCATCGTTTTAATCGTAATTTATGTAATACATGATTTGGATAAATTTTACAAAAATAGAACCTATATTATATTCTTTTCAAAGATTCTTGCAAATCATCAAAAATAATTGTATTTTAAAAAACGATCAAATGATCCTTTCATTATTTTAAACTTAAATTAGTTTTTATGATTGACTAAAGCAATCATATTTATTCATCATTAAATAAACAAAAAAATAATATTTGAGAGTTATTTCAAAAAAAAACACATTGAATTTATTAATTTGTCTCAATTTCAGTATTATAAATTTTTATAATTTCAATATTTTGAAATACACTTTTTAATATTTCAATATTTATGATATTTCAATGTATTAAGTGGTCTCAAATTGAGCTTCTCAAATATAAGTTGGCCTATTCAAATAATAAAATTAAATAATATTTAAAATAATAAATAAAAGTGATTGAGGTCATAGCAAAACGGCTGTTTCAGTCATTAATTCTTAAAAATAAAAAGGGTAAAAACTAAATACAATGGGTAAAATTTAATAGTGTCTGTGCTATCGTTCAATTTGAAGGTGTCTTTTGAAACCGCAAGACACATTGAATTTTTGAATAGTGTATTATGGTTTGACAGACACCAATGAAAAAAATAAAATGATATTTATTTTAAATATATAAGATCCTTATATAAAATATAAATATTTTATCGTTTTATTTTTTGGTTTTAGAAATGTTTTTTATTGAAAAATCAATAAAACTAACTCCAAAATAAAATTTTTGATTTAAAGACACTATGATGACACCAGGCAAATCTTCCAAGACACCTATCGTCGGGAATCTAACAACCCTAGGCTCAACCTCAAAACAAGCATTTTATGAGCTTACTAAGGGCGTTATAAATGAATTCAAAGGTATTTACATACATCCTGACCTCGTTCATTTTGCTGCTGAATTCAGCAAAAATAATTTTTAGGGTAGATGGTTAGATCTAACCCGATATCTAACCTCATTTCTACCCTCAGCCGCTAAGCGGCGAGACCCAAAGGTCTTGAATTTTCATGAATTTTATATATTAATGTTTTCGTTAAGCCACTTTGTGCCGTCAGTCAGTCAGTCAATGAAATTTACACCAAAAATAATGTTTAGGGTAAATGGTTAGATCTAACCAGATTTCTAACCCGATTTCTACCCTCACGAATTTTCATGAATTTCCTTAAGATAGAAAAAATAAAGTTAGTTTTATTTTTATTTATTTTTTTATTTTGTATAAAAGATATGATTTCAACAATCGGCACAACAACAATTCAAACAACAGCACCAAACTCGTTAGTCATGAATCCTACGTCAATGTTAGTAGAAATGAAAAACTTCATTCCTTCTTCATTTACTTTCGAAACAGAAATACAAAGAATAAAGCAAGAACTTTTAACAAGTAATTTAGACTGTAGCGCACAGGATGAAGAAAATGAAGAATATCTTTATGACATGCAGGACATTATTGACCACTTACCCAAATTGCCTGAAATCCAACAACAAAAACTCACTATTCCTGAATTCGATGAAATAGAAGTGAAAGTTAGTGATTCTGCAGAAATTAAGAAATTCATACGAAAGGTAAATTATGAGTTTCTAGGATATCATTGCAACCATAAAGTTATGGACAAAGATTGCGACATGTTATATAAGAACATCTCTGACATATATAAATCGGGGGAGTTTAAGACATATGACAACTTTGTTTCATTAGTTGCAAAATGTGTATGGCAGATAAGAGATAAAGATAGAAGAGGTAAAGTATGGAATGAACAGATAAAACCAGCAGCCTTTGAGTTAAAGAAAACCATTGACGCCTTGGTTGTTCTAGCTGGTTTTATTTCAATGTATAACGCAAAAATGAATCCGCAATGTTCTAAATGTAAAGCAGCAATGAGGAAATATAACTACTCCGTCAAAGAGATAGAACGTATGCGAAACGACTATGCTGACTTAAAGAAAGAAGCAGAGAAACCAGCAGAAGATAAAATGGACATGTTATAATTTCTGAATAAAAACTATCCAACTGCTGACGATTTCCTTCTATCTGACGTCAAGAAGAAGTATAAAGAAACTTTCGGTATCGTTAAAATTTTTGATATATTAACTGAAGAAATAGAAGCTACAAAACTGTTTAGAATCTCACGAATTCATAACGTTTACCATGTAAAACGGTTATAAATAATGAGGGTAGAAATGTGGTTAGATATCGGGTTAGATCTAACCTTCTACCCTAAAATATATTTTTATTGAATTCAGCACAAAATTCTGAGTAAAATAATTTTTAGGGCATGTGTCAAACCGTTGAGTTTTCACAAAATTTAAAAAATAACGTTTACCATGTGCAACGTTTATAAAATAACTGGGGTAGAAATAAGGTTAGATATCGGGTTAGATCTAACCATCTACCCTAAACATTATTTTTGGTGTAAATTTCATTGACTGACTGACTGACGGCACAAAGTGGCTTAACGAAAACATTAATATATAAAATTCATGAAAATTCATGAGGGTAGAAATGAGGTTAGAAATCGGGTTAGATATACCCATCTACCCTAAAAATATATTTTTATTGAATTCAGCACAAAAATAATGAATTTTCAAGCTTGACTTTTTACAATTTGAACTTTGTTTCGTAGATATGAATTCTGAAAGAAGTATGAGGGTCTTGTATGACTTTGTACTTCTCCCATAGTTCATGTCTGTCAAACTTACCTGCCATGGACTCTTTCATAAGTTCCATGAAATCGTCTTCGGACAATCCGGGGAAAAGTATTATGTCAGTAAGTATTCTTTTAACATCCTTACTTAAACTCTTGGCTGTCTGTACACAAATGACAACTGAGATGTTAAAGTGTCTGAGCTTCTTAAGAATTCGACACATATCTTGTTCTCTGTTCTTTAACAAAGGATGAGAGGCGAAATCATCTAAGATAAGAAGACATCTATGAGGGTAAGTCTTTCAATCGTAAGATTGCAATTTCTTCGAAATGTATTCTATCTCTTTCTGTTTGTTTCTGAAGTGTTTCTTCTCTAATATTCTCTGCATTTCCTCATTTGGGTCTTTAAACTTAGAATTTATATACTCATTTATAGCATTATACTTCAAAACTCTTCTTTGGTACTTCTTTATCCAATCTAACAACTCAGTATCTTTTATACATACTAACTTAGACTTCTTTATAATATCTTTGAACGAATTGACGGTTTGGTCAAATTGACCAGAAGTCGAACAAATAACAACTAACTCATAGAATGGGTTCTTCTCATCTAGTTCTTGTTGTTGTGCAGCCATTTTAAGATAAGTGAAAGTCTTACCCGACCCAGGTGGTGCAATTAGACCTGTTATACCATTCTGAGCAAATAAGAACTTTTCATGTATAGGCTTTATCTGAGCATTTTCTAACTTCCTCTTGTTCTTGTTTAAAACATTCTCAAATTTCTTGTCAATGTCAGCAAACTTTTTTTCTAACATATTTTTAGAAAAATTAAAATTTTTATCTTTTAGAAAATGTCTAGCGATTTCGCTATCTATATTCGAGACAAACTTTTTGACAGCAAAACATCTGTCGATAGGGTTGTTAGATTCCCGACGATAGGTGTCTTGGAAGATTTGCCTGGTGTCATCATAGTGTCTTTAAATCAAAAATTTTATTTTGGAGTTAGTTTTATTGATTTTTCAATAAAAAACATTTCTAAAACCAAAAAATAAAACGATAAAATATTTATATTTTATATAAGGATCTTATATATTTAAAATAAATATCATTTTATTTTTTTCATTGGTGTCTGTCAAACCATAATACACTATTCAAAAATTCAATGTGTCTTGCGGTTTCAAAAGACACCTTCAAATTGAACGATAGCACAGACACTATTAAATTTTACCCATTGTATTTAGTTTTTACCCTTTTTATTTTTAAGAATTAATGACTGAAACAGCCGTTTTGCTATGACCTCAATCACTTTTATTTATTATTTTAAATATTATTTAATTTTATTATTTGAATAGGCCAACTTATATTTGAGAAGCTCAATTTGAGACCACTTAATACATTGAAATATCATAAATATTGAAATATTAAAAAGTGTATTTCAAAATATTGAAATTATAAAAATTTATAATACTGAAATTGAGACAAATTAATAAATTCAATGTGTTTTTTTTTGAAATAACTCTCAAATATTATTTTTTTGTTTATTTAATGATGAATAAATATGATTGCTTTAGTCAATCATAAAAACTAATTTAAGTTTAAAATAATGAAAGGATCATTTGATCGTTTTTTAAAATACAATTATTTTTGATGATTTGCAAGAATCTTTGAAAAGAATATAATATAGGTTCTATTTTTGTAAAATTTATCCAAATCATGTATTACATAAATTACGATTAAAACGATGAAAGAACCAAAAAGTGTGTTTTGTGTTTTGTTGTTGCGTGTTGGATGCGGGATCCTGTTATTTCCGAAATCGACAAAAAATTTGGAAATTTAATTTCCGAAATCGAAATTATATGAATGTTTTTAATATTCTTATATCAAAAGGATTAAAGTTCATTAAGAGAAAAACAATTCTTCTTCTTCAATCTATTGGCGCATTTATTTCTACACGCCAATAAGGAAGGGAAAATTATAAGACACCATGGTGTCTTCAAAACGCTAATTTTTGATATTTTTAACAACCCTATCTGTCGACCATAAAATCTTACATAGTGTAAACAAGAAAGGTGAATTTGTTCTAAAGTTCTGTTTCTGGGAATATGACAAGAACCATAAAACATTACAAAGAGCAGTCTTAAAATTTGTCAATGACAGACTTGTTGACAGAGATGACGCCGATTGGAAAGATGAAGTCCAACAAAAGTTCTTAGAATGCAAAGAAGACACATGCGCTGTTCTTGAAGATGAAATAGAAAACAGAATAGATGAGCTATTAAAGGACAAAGAACTTTTACATAAATATGGTTGCGCCAAATTTGACATAACTCCACCAGAAAAGAAGAAGAGAGAAAAGAAAGAAAAGAAAGTAGAAGAAGAGAAGAAAGAACCTGAACCAGTTCCAGAGAAAAAGAAATTTGACATGTAAAAATAAAATTTTATTTTTAGAACATTTCTGGGTCAATGTCAATGTTCTCTTCCTCTTTAGGAGTAAACACTGGCTTAGACTCTAATAGCTTTTTACCCAATTTACCTTGAACTTCTACAACTTTAGACTCATAATATTCATAGTCGTCTGTCTTCTTTGGTTCATAAGGTATAACAAGTTTGTATGCTTTGCCTTCTTTAAGGTTTGAGAACCTTCTGTCAAAACTTTCTTTGACTGTTAACAAACCTTCTATGTCTAAGTCTTCAAATTTCGCACCATTTTTAGTCACAATAGCAAACTTAACTGGTTCGATGTTCCAAACTTTGCTGAATGAAGACTTTTCAAAATGGTAGAAGTAAACATTCAAATATGTGAATGGGTCTAGTTCTTCTTTAAGTCCTGACATGTATTTGTTTACTGAAATATATTTCGTCATCTTTTCTATCGGATAAAAAAATATTTTTTTTAAATTTACTCAGAAAAAATTTTCTTTGTATATACACCATTCTGAACATCTAAAAGACTTTTGACATTTGCCAAGAATGTACGTTTAGAAGCTGCCATATAACCATATTCTTGACAATATTGTTTATATTCATCATATAAAGACCTTTCATCTAATGACACAAAGTCAGTTTCATCTACGAACAGTTCATAAACACTCTTGTTTGCTTCTAACAATGTTTGTCTCTCTTCGGTATGTGGAATTTGTCTTGGATTGAAGTTAGAAATATCTAATGTCATGAAATATGAGAACAAGTGGCTGTAAAAGTCAGATGTCAAACATTCTGACAAAGCGTCAGTTAGTATACAAGTCATGGGTACGGCGGCACTGCGTTCCACCTTACCCAATACTTGTGAATTTGACACTTTACAAAGCCGCCAACCACTTCACTAACGAACTCACTAATGTAAAAAATAAACGTTCTCACTATCGTTCTCACTAACGACTTCACTAATGTTCTCATAAATTTTCCTCAATATCTTCATCATCAGTGTTAACCCTATTGTAGTCATACTTGAAGCCATAAACTTTCTCTAACTTCTTAACGTACAATTTACATAACTTACCTTCGTCATCGTATGGTTTAATGATATAACTATTTCTATCTTTATACACAGTCAATGAAAAGTCAACTGGTCTCGGATGTATTTGAAAGAACATGTTATACTCAGGAAGGAAGAATAAATGTTTAAATGTATGTTTGTTATATTTTTCGATTTGTATGAGTTGCTTTTGTTCTGTCATTTACATCCAAATAAAAATTTTCAGTAAAATAAAAAATAAACTTAAAAATTAATGATATCACCACCCTCACACGTATGAAAACATAGCACAAAAATAAATTTAGGTGAATTGGTGAGATCTCACCTCTTTTTTCACCTGTTTTTTCACCCTGTTGAATTCATTGCTTTATAACTCTCTTCCTTTCTCCAACTCTTCTAACTTCTTCTTAAGTTCAGCAATGTTGTCCTCATGAAGTTTAATCTTTCTCAAAATTCCTTCTTTATCTAATGGTTGCTTTATCTTTCTAAACTGAACTCTACCATCCTTCATAGTATGAATGTAAAAACCTTCTGGAATAGTTCCTGATTTAATGTATTCTACCAAAAACTTTTGTTTCATTGCTTCAGTGACTCTATTTGTCATTTCAATCAAATAAAAATTTTAATATTAAATAAAAATAACGTTATTTTTTCAGTAAGGAAACGCAGGAGTTTTACAATTTATTTGAGGAGTAGGTTCTGGTTTAAATGTTGGAGTCGGTTTAGGAGTTGACTTTTGAACAGGAGTTTGTACTTCCATAGGTTCAGGAGTCATTGAAGGTTTTGCTTGTGAAGGCGTTGGTTTTGGCGAAGGTGTTGGAGTTTGTTTAACTTCAGCTACTTCAGTATTATTTACAACATTTGCTTTATTTCTTTTCAACATCATAACTGCTCCTGCTGTAGCTAGCAAACCTAGTGGGAGACCATATTTTATATAAGGACTTGACCAAATGCTATTTTTGACAGGAGCTGGTGGAACACCTAACCTTGGTGAGACTGCTCTTTGCCATTGTGCAGCTCGTAAGAAATATTCAATAGGTGCTCCATAATCGTTTGGTAAAGTTTGTTTCATAGATGGTGAAGGTTCACGAGAGCTTGATGAAGAACTCATTTATAAGCTTTAAAAATAAACGTTCATCCTTTATTCCTCACTGTCGTCCGTAGCTAAGTTATAGTCATCTAATCTTATTATGGGGATGCCATTAGCACGCACCTGAATGGCAAAGCAACAATCCCTCATAAATCCAATAAGTGGCTTTGGTACATTTTCAGTTGCTAGTTCAATAGGTCCTTTAACAGACAATTTGTATGTTATTGGAGCAGTAGATGTTTGACCTTGCTGGAAGCAAAAGTCCACTTCTGTTGGAAAACCACATAAGAAATGTGTGTTGTCATAGCTATCCCATTTATGTTCCACACTACCATCATCCACCAATGACCTCATAACATCTTCATTAAATCCTATCATATCATTGTTTGTATTGCAAGCGTTCGCAACCATTTCATAAAATACAGGTCCATATGATTTTTCAGGTTCTGCAGGCATATTTCCATAAGCTCCCATGGAAAGCAGAAGATATTTAAACTTAGGGTTCTCAAAATTAACATAATAGTTGTCTTTCTTTCTAAATAGTGCCCAAATACTTTTAACATTAATAGGCGTATAAGCTGCTGTAAATGTTGCACTTGAACTATCTGTATTCTTTGAGAATGAACCGTCCATAGGAATCCAATCCATAACTTTAACAGGAAAACATAAAGCCTCGTTTGTATAATGTTCTACAAGTTCTGTATAAATGTTAGGGTCTAAAGAGAATGACTTTGGATGAATGAAACATTCATTAAAATCCATCTTTGTTCGAAATAGTTGCTGGATTACAGTTGTAATAGTAACTGTTCCACTAGCTTCTACTGCCTTCGTTATCATAGTGAATGGTTCATTCCATGGAACAAATTTATTTGTCGGTGGATTTGAATCTGAAGCAAATGCAACTTTAAGAGTTGGATTGAAAGCAATGATATCATTTACAGATATAGATGTGCATTGTAAGGCGTCGCTACTGAACTTTACTTTAAGCTGAATGTTTCCTGCAAAAGCTGGAATAAATCGAATAGCTTCTAATGGAAGGAATCTTCTAACAGGAATTCTTAAACGAAGCTTAAAATCAAATGATTTTCCTGCTGTAATCGGCCCACTAACAATTTGTCCTGTTCTGCATGTTCCCGAATGACTCCATACATCTTCATGTCGAGTCTTTGAGAAAACATCTACTTTCTTTATTTGTTCGGTAGTTTGTGAGTTTGAAGTTATATATGCTTCTTCTCTTGCGTTGTCTTGAG